CTGCTGTTCTGGACAATGGATCCGTCATCACCTGGGGTGCCCATCACTGTGGTGGTGACAGCAGCCAATTGCAGGAGAAGCTCAGGAATGTGCAGTGCATCCAGGCAACTGGAATGGCATTTGCTGCTGTTCTGGACGATGGATCCGTAGTTACCTGGGGTGATCCGCACTGGGGTGGTGACAGCAGCAGAGTCCAGGAGCAGCTCAAGAAGGTGCAGCACATCCAGGCAACTGGATATGCATTTGCTGCTGTTCTGGACGATGGATCCGTCGTCACTTGGGGTGAACCAGGCCGGGGTGGTGACAGCAGCAGAGTCCAGGAGCAGCTCAAGAACGTGCAGCACATCTAAGCAACTGTAACTGCATTTGCTGCTGTTCTGGACGATGGATCCATCGTCACTTGGGGAGAACCAGGCCGGGGTGGTGATAGCAGCAGAGTCCAGGAGCAGCTCAGGAACGTGCAGCACTAAGAACGTCAATCTCAGAGCAAAAACCTAAAAGATGAACATAGGGTTTTGAGTTATATAGGGATTATAGGGTGGTATTGGGATAGTGGAAAAGAAAATGGAAGCTACAGGGATTATCGGGAATATGTAGGGATTATAGGCTTACATTTCGGATTATATAAGGATAATGGAATAGAAAATGGAAGCTACTATTTGTCTTATAAACCTGCCGCGCACCGTATGGTTCCTGCCCCGGGTTAGCCGGCCCTCCTCCTGCATCTTTAGGGTTTAGGGTTTAGGGTTTAGATTTTAGGGTTTAGGGGGAGGAGATGTTGCAAGTATTGGGGTATAAGGTATATGGTGCTTTCCAAAAAAAGGGGGACCCAATATAGACCCCAAAATACTACAGTCCTGAGTATAGGGACCCCCAAAAAAGTACCCCTAATTTCGGGAAACCTCCATATAATGGGCTTTTGCTAAACTTCCTCCATCCACAGTCAGTCTAGGGTTTGGGTTTTGGATAGGATTTAGTTACGTTGAATGCTTTAGCTAGACCCCAAGAGGAATATGAGAGGATCCGAATATACTTAAGCTTATCCCTGACAGGCACTATTACGGGGGGTCCACCTAATGAATGCTGTTCGTGGAAAACTCTAAACCCTCAACTGAAAGCCTCTTATACCTCTTCTTACCCCGTCTTTGGGCAAGGTGGGTCCCCTGGGGAGCTAGGTAGCTACACGCTAAACCCCTAAAACCCTTAAACCCCTAAACCTCAAATCCCAAAGCTTGAACCCTTGACCCCCAAACCCTTGACCTTGAACCCTCGACCCCAAACCCGAGACCTCGAATCCAAAAGGGAGCCTGAAGGATCTTGGGGGAGGATTGGAGTATGTCTTTGGGAATATTACATTAGGCTTAAGGTTCAGGGGACCCTAAACCCTAAACCCGAAACCCTAAACCCTAAACCCTAGACCCTCCCAAACTAACAGGGAGCCCCACATGGACCTTGGCATCTTTCAAAAATTGCCCTTGGGACCCTTCCTGGGTTGCTGTTAAGGAACTTACAATAAGGTACCATAATGGGTATAGGGTATAGGGGACAGGGTTTAGGGTTTAGGGTTTTGCGCGGCCGTGTCGGGGTTCCGTGTTAGTTTGGGTAAGGGCAGGATTTTGAGTTCAGGAGCGCAGGGTTTGAGTCTTGAAGTGTAAGATTCTGCGTTTAGAGTACGGGTTGCAGGTGTCAGAGTTTTCCCCTTTCTTTGCTGCTATTTCAAGGGATGTGTAGGTTGGGTACTGCCCCCACTCATTAACAGTTGGATAATCTTTATAATGTGACTATATATAGCCCTTAATATGGCCCCCCATTATAGACTGTTAATGGGTGGGAGCTGGACCCAATGTGTAGGTGCTAAACACTGGGACTTGGGGGTGAGGGTTTACCACGCGCAGACCACCACCTCTACTGAGCATGCCGCATGCTCCCATGCTGCAAAACTCCTTAAAGAGGGTTATATACGATGATATGGGGCCATATAGGGTCATATAGGGTTATATAGAATCATATAGGGTTATATAAGGTTATAAAGGGTTTATAGGGTTTAGGGTCTGACACATCTGAGCTATTTGATAGACTCCTTAACGAGGGTTATAGAAGGAATCAAACGGGGATTATACTAGCGGCTACTAAGTGGGATACTAGGAGTTTAGGCCCTAAACCCTAATCCATAAATCCCGGCCTTATCAAGAAGGGGAGTTTAGACTATGCCCAACCCTAAACCCGATATACCCCTATATAATCCCTATACAACCCTAAACCCTAAACCCTAAACCCTGGGTACTTAAAACATCCGCTCATCTGCATCTGAGTTTCTGAAAGCAACTTTCCACTGCCGCTGGATGCTTGCTAGCCTAGTGCAGTGTTTGTAACCGTTAGGGTTTAGGGTTTTATGTCCGCCTGTCACCTTAGATAATCCTGAAAGGGGGAGCTGTCCCCGAGAGCTCCACAGTTTGAGAAACTACCAAGTAGCGCTGGGTGGCAAAAACCTGCCTCCTTGCCCTAAACCCTAAACCCTAAACCCTAAACCCTAAACCCTAAACCCTAAACCTGACAGAATCCATTTTGGCGCAATCGACTACGTACAAGGGCTGCGGGATCCCTTCTCTGAACCCCAAGCCCTAGAAGGGTTTAGGGTTTAGGGTTTAGGGTTTGCTTAGGGTTTACGTATAGGATAGCAGTTTATATATGGGTTGTACACGGATTGTATAGGGATGAGGCTTATCTAGGGGTAGAATAACAGTTGAGGACCTTAAACCCTAAACCCTAAACCCTTAAACCCTAAACTACGCTCCGACCCCGCGTTTTAGGGTTTAGGGTTTAGGGTTTAGGGTTTAGGGGACAATTGACAGATCTGAATGGGCTCAACCCCGAACGTAATCAGCCCTCCCCACCCCCCACCCCACAAGATTCAGAATTAAATTGGAAAGTTGACCAAACCAAATGGGCTCGACCTTGAACGTACTCAGCCCCCCCAAAAAACCTGACGCTGGACCGGTGCGAAAGTCGGCATTACATGGGGTCGGAGGGCTAAACCATATTTCCCTGAACGCTACATCCTAGAACCCACGCCCCGCGCGCTGAATCCTAGCTACTTTTGGGGGAAGTTGTAAACTTGCTTGTGCTGTCTCAGGTCATCCGGCCACACACGTCGATGCCCCAGGAAAGATTGATGTGCTGTGCGGCGGTCTTGGAGTTTAGGGGTTCAAGGTTTAGGGTTTGGGGGTTTCGGCATGAGGGTTTAGGGGTTTGGTGTTTAGGGGTTCAGGGTTTAGGTTGGAAAGGTTTTGGCCAAAGGTTTCAGTTGCAGGGGTTTTTGGGGTTTGAGGATTTGGGGGCTAGTACGCACTTGGAGGGTCCAGTGGACTTCGTAAGCAATACCTAGAACCCCTACAATCACCCGAAGTATCCCCGGTATTAACCTACTTCAGAAGTCACCCCAAGTAGAGTTTTTTTATGCCCAAGTAACAAGACTTCAGCTGAGCCAAGTCCTAAAGCAACCCTCGACCCAAACCCGAATTGAGGGTCTCAGGTTTAGGGTTTGGGGTATAAGGTTTAGGGTGTAAGGTTTAGGGTCTAAGGTTTGAGGTTTTATGTTTAGGATGTACGGTTTCGGGTGTAAGGTTTAAGGTTTAGGGTTGCCTCTAAGCTTCTTAAGCATTCTACGAACCGTCACCGGAGTCTAGGGTTCAAGGCACAGGTGTCTTACAAGCATGCCTTGTGCGGCCATGGTAGGCTTATGTGGATGGCAGTTTACCAAAACCCCAGCCACGCCTAAATCCCAAATCCCTAAACTCAAAACCCCAAACCGTAAACCCTGAACCCCAAACCCCATTCCCTAAACCTGTTTCCTGTGTGCCATTGCTGCCTTGCCTTGCGGGGCCCGTGTTCGCGGGGGTCTGCACGATCCTGTCGGCCATTGCTGAGCTCGGCGCGTCGGGTGATCAAGACCGAGAAGTTTCGTGACGGGCTGATCCTTTACACGATTCTCCGGAAGATGTCCGCCAGGAAGATGGATGTCGAGACTGGCGCTCGCAAGAGAGAGAACTCACAGGAGCTGGTTCCGCCGCAGGGCCGGGGCTGGGGTTTCTTTAGCACAGATCCAGGAACTTCTCGACAACCAGACGAAGCGGCTGCAGGCGAGCCAGCGTGCCGACATGGCTGAGGCAGTCTCTAAGGCTATGGCGGAGTCCGAGAAGAAGACACATGATGCGCCCCAGGAGATCCGTACCGACTTGAAGAGAGAGTCGGGCCGCCGAGTGGATGAAGTGAAAGCGATCCAGAAGGAGCAACAGCAGATGCAGACGGCACAGGATGACGTTTTCTCAGACGGCTGACGAAGTTGGAGCTGGGGGGCCGTGCAAGCTCGACCACAGCCTCAGACGGGGCCCCGAGAAAGCCGGCTGTCATTTTCGGTGGCTGGAAGACAACAGTGTCGCGAACGAAGCTCTTGAAGGAGTTGGGGGAGGTCATCGACAAAAGCACTGCTCGTGAGTGGTTGGATGAGCTTCCGTGGACCCCAGGGCCCCGCAAGGGGATCGCTTTGGCGAGCTTTGTGGAGAGGCAGTCGGAAGGGCCCGATGATGTCAAGCACCGGATGCAGGAAGTGGTCAACCTCATCAACCGACCTGGTCTGAGCGCTCCAGGGACGGATGTCCAGTGTGGGCTACCATCAGCAAAGAGAGAACCGTTCGCAGTGATGCGGCAATCATGTCTCAAAAATCAGAAGGTTGGTCCACTACTTCCGCCTCAACATCGAGGAGTGTGACTGTGACTATAAGGAGGGCACGTTGTGGTTCGGTGATGTCTTGGTTGGCTCTGTATCGCGTGCTTCTGAGGAGCCGTCCAGGGTTATGCCAGGGAAGGTCGCTGGAAGCTGGTTCGATCCGATAGGGTTCGCCGAAAAGGCAGGCAAAGAGGTCCAGCTGATGAAGGATGCTTGGGTGCATGCTTTGGCGAACTGACCGTTGGATGAGAGCATGGCTGAAGATGCATGGTGTTTGAATGCAGTCGAGGCGGGTCATGTGGCCGAACCTCGTGTACAGATTTTTCCTCAGGTACTTGGAGTGGCAGAACTCGAGGCCGTTCCGCACGGAAGAGTGTCGGGCCCTGTTGCTGAGAGCGGGTACAGTGGGATCGCAAGTAATGTGGAGGAAGTGACTTTGAAGAAGTTGCGTTTCGGATCGTGGAAGCTGGCAGGGATGTGCAAAAAAGCGGCCCTTGAAGTGTTCCAGTCAGTTGTGGCTTTCGATGTGATGGCTGTTCAAGAAATCCCCAAATGTGCACCAGGGTGGCATCAGATCCGGGAGGAAGGGGTCGAAGGATGGATTCACCAGGACGTCATCACCTATAGAGGGATCGGCATCATGTACAGGCCGAGTAAGGTGGTGTTGCTGAAAAAGTACAAGGCAGAAAGAGGGGTGTGGATGAAGTTCCGGCATGAGGAGTCTGGGAAAGTGTTCTGGGCAGGCAGCACGCATTTACCCAAAAACGAGCCTCTTGGTGAATACCGAAGGTTGGCGGCTGAGGTGATTGGGGCTCTGCCCGCGTGGGATGGACCGCTCATTTTGCTGGGGGATGTGAACGCTGATTTTCAGTGGTTGCAGAGTGAGGACGGGGTGGTTAACGTGACGAGGGACCCCAAGAAGGAAATCCTACATGAGGTGTTTGGGGAAGAGGGCTTTCGCAAGTTCCGCCTGCTGAAGAATGCTTGCACATGCCTACGTTTGTCTCCAGAAAGAGTGGTAGTCGCCCTACGCAAATTGATGCAATCTATGTCAGGTCTATGTCGAGTGGCAGAGTCTTGATACAGGAAGGGAGCAAAACCATGATTCAGAGTGACCACAACAACGTGGGTGTGGATGTGAATTTCAGGCTTGGCAAAAAGAAAAAACAGTCTACCGTTGGAGCACATTGATCAGGGTGTACTTCAGAATGTTGCCCGGCAGTGTACATCTCAGAAGCCTCCTAGACCGAAATTTACCTGCAGTGCAGCAGCAAGAACGTTGAGAGACATCGCGAAAAGGTCAAGGCAGCCAGGCGATTGGAAGCTGTACTTGCAACAAATGAGGAGAGATCGAGATGGGTGGAGACAGGAGAGGTTATCTAAAGCAGTTACCGGGTGGACCGAGTACAGAGACCTGACAAAAACCAAGAAAGGATGGGGTGACTCCTACCTCATGAACAATGCTGACACAGACCCAATGGAAGGGATTGGTTCGCATTTTGCAGGGGTTTTCGCAAAAGAAAGTGCAGAGAATGTGGATGCTTGTATGGATGCTCTGAAAGACACGTTGAGTACCAACAAGTCCCCGCCCTTCTCGACCAGTGAAGTTCGTCGAGCCATATTCGATGGGAAAAGCAACAGGTCGGTGGGCCCTGACATGGTGCCTACGGAACTTTTGAAAGAAATAGTGACGGATGAGGTGTCGCTTGAGTCGTTCACGCGGTTTTTCAACCAGCTGATGCATGACAGACAGGTGCCGGCAGAGTGGTCCACGGCGATAGTGACGTTGTTATCCAGAACCGGCAGCCCTCAGGGGCCGGCCGATTTGAGGCCAATAACGCTGGCCAGTCACGTCGCGAAGGCTTTTACCAGATTACTGATGCAGCGACAACGAGTGCGAGCTCATCCTGGGAAGACGGTGCCGCGATGACCATGGCCCCGGAGTGGGTAATGGAAGTATGGGATCAAATACACGTGTTTTTTGTGGACATGCCAGAAGGGAGTGTGGGAATGGCTGCTGGAGCCTCGACAGGTGGTGCCATCCAAGTCCAAGATAGCCTCGAAATCGATCATGGCCAAGATGAAATCAAAGTGGGTTTGGCCAATGGGACCACCAGGAATGCCACAGAAGAGGAAAGGAAACAAATCCTTGAAAAGGAGAAAATGGATGCTGAAGAAGCGGAACTAGAGCGCCAGGGAGACGAAGATAGATGGAACCGCTACCAAGCCGCTTAGTACCGAAGATGGGAAGAGCAAGCCATGCGGGAAGAGATGGGAAACCCGTTTGAGGCGAAAAAGCGTCAGAAAGTCAAGCTGGAGGCTGTCACTGAGGGTAGAAGGGTGGCTGCATCGATGTCAATGATGGTGGACTTCAAGTATGGAGAAAACTGAGGTTTGTACTTGAGCCAGGGCCAGTGGAGGACGTTGTTGATGAAGGGACAGATGAACAAGGGTTGTCGGAAAACCAGTTTGAACAAGAAGCTGCTGATGAAGAGGTGGAGGTCGCGATGCAGCTGTGTCATGAAGACCTGGCAGACCCTGGAAACATACCAGATCCATTGATGTCGGAAGCCGGCCGGCAGTATTACGAGCTGTGGGCCAACAAGGTGATTGACGGTGGTGCCGTCGCATGGCGTTGGGGCCAAGGGGTGTTGCAAAGGTTCCAACAAATGAAGGGACCAGAGAAACAAGAAGGCACCGCCGATGAGGAGTTTGAAGAGCAAAAGATGATTGCGGCGGTCATGATGGCTGAAGCCAATGAAAATACGGAAAGGGCTGACACGGAGGAAGCAGTGACTCGTGATGACGGGGCTGAAGCCAGTAATGTAGAGGGCATGCCGATGGATGTCCTTGAAGCAGCGGTGCTTGAAGAAGAAAATTTGGAGGGAAGAGTTGTGGATGTGGTTCGGAGCATGGCTGAGGGCAAGGGTGAGGGTGTCTAAAGGGCGGCCAGTTGGACAAGATTGCCTACATGTCTGCGCTCCGCAAGATCATCTGAAGGGCTGAAAGGTAATGTCATTACAAGGGGTGTTTGAAACGGCTGTGCACTGGATGGTGCCATGCCCCTTGATACCTCAGGGTTTGTCTGGGTTAATGGTGTTTTGCTGAGCAATGTGTTCCTGATGGAAATTGCGAGGCCCTTTTCGGCTTGACCTCCAGGAGTCATTATGTCGTGCAGACGTAAAAGGGCCGTTGTAAAAAAAAAACCATACCCTAAACTCTAAACCCTAAAACCCCAATCCCCAAACCCTAAACCCCTAAACCTCATAGTCCCCCTTAAGTAGATAGAATATGGCTTTGGGTATATGATAATAAGATCCCAATATACCCCATATTCTATCTACTTAAGGGTACACCCTGAAACCCCAGGATCCTTGAATCAAGAAGCCGGAGAGGGACGATCGTTGTTCCAAGAAGTCCCAACTGGGGGGGTTTAAAAAATTTGGGCCCTAAAGCATATGTAAGGGTCTTTAGGGATATGTCGGGGTTACATAGGGCTTGAGGGTTCCCAAATTTGAGGGACTTGAAGGAATTAGTACCCCTGAAAAATGGAGACTCAAATGGACAAGAAAATTGGAATGAATGGAAACTGGACCCTAAACCCTAAACCTATATATGTCACAGGGAGGTTTAGGGTTCAGGGTTTTGCGTTGGCCTGCACTCCGCTATCTTCGTGCCACCTAAACCCTAAACCCGTAGCCCTAAGCCCCTCCTAGGCGGTACTCAGGGAGAGTTTGAGGTTGGACCCATGGGGTCTAAGGTTAAGGGTTTAGGGCTTAGGGTTTAGGGTATGGGGTGCAGGGTTTAGGTTGAGGGTGTGGGTTTGCATGGATCCCTTAACTAAGGTCCTTGGTTGCTTCGGCCTACGCCAGGGCGCTGGGGGAGTGTTGGCACTTGCCCCAGCTGTAGCTTCCGCTTGCGCATTTCTCCCCTAGACGAAGATGGAAAAGCCCAAAAAGGGCCCTACAAAGAGTGCTGTTCGCAAAGGGGATCAGCTTCCATGTTCGTCTGGGGAATTGTAGAATCTAGGGTTGAGGATTTCATGTGTTCATAGGGCACTGGTGTTACCCCAATAAAGGATTGAAGGGTCCTGCTGGCTTCCCATCGTTTGCTTCCCTTGTTTGATAGAGGGATGTAACGTAAGGTCATGTGTCTTCCCATGTTGCCGTAATGTGTCTATTTCAGTTGATTCTCCACTCCTTGGGGTTTTACCTGAGCCTCAGTATATACCCCAACCCTGAACCCTGTAAACCGCGCAGGCTTCAACGTGCCGTTTCCTGCAAAGCAGCACAAAACTCTAGACTCCTAAACCTTCAAGGGACTTGGTGATCAAATTTGCGAGGAGGAGCAGAAAACAAGTATAGAAAATACCAAATTCAGAAGGGTGTAGATTTTGGGGCCGGGGGTGAGGGGGGGGGCGGCTTATGTAGTAAAGTTCTCCTCTAGAGCCACATCATAACCCCAGCTATCCCCATCAGTAGCCTACTGACTCAGTGCCCCTGGCCCTGCGCGGAGAGCCTAAACCCTAAACCCAAAACCCTAACCCAGACCCCCTACAGGATCCAACAAATGGAACCCCCTAATAATCCCCTAGTTTCCCCAATGTAGTACTGGGTTCATATCGGGGCGGGGGGGGGGGGTTCATTTTTTGGATCTTTTAGGGGGGCTGGGAAAACCCTAAACCCTAGAAAATAGATAATAGTATCCATTGCCCATTATTCCCAAGTAGGACCCCAAGGAGATATGTTTTCGTAGGCTGGAAAATCGGGCCGCATGCTGGATGGCTATGGAGCCCCCCAAAAAGAGGGTTTGGGGTTTAGAGTTTAGGTTTTAGGGTACAAAATGTACCAATCTCTCTTGAACCTTAAGCCCTAAGCCCCAAGCCCTAAGATTATTAGTAGTGTTGTTATGATTATTATTA